CCAGATTTATTATCTTACATAGTATAGGTAAGAAACCTGAAAGAAGTCTCACTGAGCTAAAATCAAGGCATCAACAGAACTGCATTCTTTTTGCAAGGGTCTTGGGAAAATCAGTAACCTGCCTTTTCTCCTTCTAAAGACTACCCACATTCCTTGGCTTCTGGTCTCCTTCTGCCTTCTGCAAACCCAGAAATAGTGGATCAAGTCCTTCTCATGCTGCCCATCTCTGTGGTTCCAAATGATTTCCCTCATTTCTGCAGTATAACAATGAAGCAAAACTGAAGGAACAAAACAGCACCGTACTCACAGACTCCAAGAAGGGACTAAAGGTTACCAAAGTGGAGGAGTTGGGGAGGGTGGGTGGAGAGGCAGAGAGAAGGGGATAGACGGGTATTATGATTAGTGTTCATGGTGTGTGGGGGTGTCATGGGGAAGACAGTGCAGCAGAGAGAAGACAAACAGTGACTCTGTGGCATCTAACTACATTGATGGACAGTGACTCGATGGATTTTCGAATATTGTACCATGCCTGAATCCCTGAATCCCTGGAATAAATCCTACTTGATCATGGTGGATGATCTTTCTGATGAATTTTTTAATTCAGTTTGCTAATATTTTTGCACCTATGTTTATCAGGGATATTGATCTGTAATTTTCTTTTTTTGTGGTGTCTTTCCTTGGTTCTGGTATTAGAGTGATGCTGGCCTCATAGAATGAGTTTGGAAGTATTATCTCTTCTACTCTTTGGAAAACTTTAAGGAGAATGGGTATTAGGTCTTCACCAAATGTTTGATAAAATTCAGCAGTGAAGTCCAGGCATTTTGTTCTTAGGTAGTTTTTTGATTACCAGTTCAATTTCCTTGCTGGTAATTGGTCTGTTCAGATTTTCTGTTTCTTCCTTGGTCAGCCTTGGAAGGTTGTATTTTTCTAGAAAGTTGTCCATTTCTTCTAGGTTATCCAGTTTGTTAGCATATAACTTTTTATAGTATTCTCTAATAAATCTTTGTATTTCTGTAGTATTCATAGTGATTTTTCCTTTCTCATTTCTTATTTTGCTCTGTGTGTAGACTCTCTTTTTTTCTTGATAAGTATGGCTAGGGGTTTACCTATTTTGTTTAATTTCTCAAAGAGCCAGCTCCTGCTTTCATTGATTTTTCTATTGTTTTATTCTTCTCGATTTTATTTATTTATGCTCTAATTTTTATTATGTCCCTCCTTCTACTGACATTGGGCCTCATTTGTTCTTCTTTTTCTAGTTTCGTTAGTTGTAAGTTTAGACTGTTCATATGAGATTGTCCTTCTTTCCTAAGGTAGGGCCTGTATTGTAATATACTTAGCTCTTAGCACAGCTTTCACTGCACTCCACAGACTTTGCAGTGTTGAATTATTGTTGTCATTTGTCTCCATACATTGCTTGATCTCTATTTTTATTTGGTCACTGATCCATTGATTATTTAGGAGCATGTTGTGAAGCCTCCATGTGTTTGTGGGCTTTTCATTTTCTTTGTGTAATTTATTTCTAGTTTCATACCTTTGTGGTCTGAGAAGCTGGTTAGTCAAATGTCAATCTTTTTTAATTTACTGACGCTCTTTCTGTGGTCTAGTATATGATCTATTCTTGAAAATGTTCCATGTGCACTTGAGAAGAATGTGTATCCTGCTGCTTTTGGGTGGAGTGTTCAATAGATGTCAGTTAGGGCCAACTGTTCTAATGTGTTGTTCAGTGCCTTTGTCTCCTAACTTATTTTCTGTCTGGTTGATCTGTCCTTTGGAGTGAGTGGTGTGTTGAAGACTCCTAGAATGAATGCATTGCATTCTATTTCCCCCTTTAAATATGTTAATAATTGTTTCAATAGGTAGGTGCTCCTGTATTGGGGGCATAGATATGATAAAGGTTATATCCTTTCATTAAACTGACCCCTTTATCATTATGTAATGTCCTTCTTTGTCTCTTGTGACATTCTTTGTTTTGAAGTCTATTTTGTCTGATACAAGTACTGCAATGCCTATTTTTTTTTCCCTATTAGTTGCATGAAATATCTTTTTCCATCCCTTCACTTTTAGTCTGTGTATGTCTTTGGATTTGAAGTGAGTCTCTTGTAGGCAGCATATAGCTGGTCTTGTATTTTTATCCATTCAGTGACTCTATGTCTTTTGACTGGTGCATTCAGACCATTTACATTTATGGTGATAATCAATAGGTATGTACTTATTGCCATTGCAGGCTTTGGATTTGTGGTTACCAAAGGTTTAAGGGTAACTTCCTTACTATCTAACAGTCTAATTTAATTCACTTACTATGCTATTACAAACACAACCTAAAGGTTCTTTTTTTTCTAACTCCTCTCTTCCTCCTCCATTCTTTATATATTAGATATCATATTCTGTACTCTTTGTCTATCCCTTGACTAACTTTGTGGGTAGTTGATTTGATTTTACATCTGCTTAGTAATTAATTGTTCTACTTTCTTTACTTTGGTTTTATTTCCTCTGGTGACAGCTAATTAGTCTTTAGGAATACTTCTATCTATAGCAGTCCCTCAAAAATATACTGTAGAGGTGGTTTGTGGGAGGTAAATTCTCTCAGCTTTTGCTTATCTGGAAATTGTTTAATCCCTCCTTCAAATTTAAATGATAATCTTGTCAGGTAGAGGATTCTTGGCTTGAGGCCCTTCTGTTTCATTGCATTAAATATATCATGCCACTCCCTTCTGGCCTGTAAGGTTTCTGTTGAGAAGTCTGTTGATAGCCTGATGGGTTTTCCTTTGCAGTGATCTTTTTTCTCTCTCTGGATGCTTTTAATATTCTGCCCTTATCCTTGGTCTTTGCCATTTTAATTATTATATGTCTTGGTGTTGTCTTCCTTGGTTCCCTTGTGTTGGGAGACCTGTGCACCTCCATGGCCTGAGAGACTATCTCCTTCCCCAGAGTGGGGAAGTTGTCAGCAATTACCTCCTCAAAGTCATTTTCTATCCCTTTTTCTCTCTCTTCTTCTTCTGGTACCCCTATAATGCAAATATTGTTCCATTTGGTTTGGCCATACAGTTCTCTCAATATTCTTTCATTCTTAGAGATCTTTTTATCTCTCTCTGCCTCAGCTTCTTTGTATTCCTCCTCTCTAATTTCTGTTCCATTTACCATCTCTTCTACTACATCTAATCTGCTTTTAAATTCCTCCGTTGTATGCTTCAGTTCAGATATTGCATTCCTTACTGATTGAATCTCAGTCCTGAATTCAACCCTGAGTTTTTGAATATTTTTTGTACCTCCATGATCATGTTTATGATCTTTATTTTGAAATCTCTTTCAGGAAGATTGATGAATTCAGTTTCACTTGGCTCTTTTTCTGGTGTTTTAGGGATTTGGATTTGAAACAGCTTCCTTTGACGTTTCATATTTGTAAGTGGTGCCCTCTAGTGCCCAGAAGCTCTACTCTCTGGAGGTGCTCAGTCCCTGGAGCAATGTCAGGGCTTGCAGGGGAGCAGTGCTGATGCCTGGAGGTAAGAAAGAGCTGTTTCCTGCTTCCTGGCTGCTGTGCCTGTCTCCACTGCAGAACCAGTGGTCCAAGGGCACAGGTGTAAGCCTCTGTGCTTTGATTTTGTAGTTGCCCTAGGTGGGGCCTCCCTTTGGCTGGCCTGATGCCAGGGCAGGGACTTCCAGTTTGCAAGCCAGTGCCGGAAGGCCTGGAGGAAGGCACAGCAGGCTTCATATCATGGTGAGGGGCCTTGGAGCTGCATAGCCAGCCGGGGTGATGGAGCACCTGAACTTCCTAAATGTTCCCAACCTGCTGGGCAGAGTGCACCCAAACAATTTTGTCCAGCTGCCCTTTCTCCTGAGCAACAAGGTCTGTGTAATCCTTGCCCCTTTAGCAGCCCTCTCACTGTTAGGAAGTGTCTAAGACTGCCTGCCTTTCTTTTGTCCCAGAGCAGCCAGATGTGGATCCCTGTTTTCCACAAGTGGCTGGAATCTCAGTCCCTCCAAGTATTCCACCTGTCTTAGCTTTCCAAACCCACTATTCTCCAGAGCACCATGCAATGTATGTTCGTGCTCCCAAAGCAGATCTCCAGGACTGGGTATTCAGCAGTCCTAGGCTTCCACCCTCTCCCCGCTCTGTTTCTCTTCCTCTCACTGGTGAGGTGGGGTGGGGGAAGGGCTTGGGTCCCACCAAATAATGGCTTTGGTAGTTATCCTGTTCCATGAAGTCTGTTCTTTTCTCCAGGTGTATGCAGTCTGGTGCAGCCTCTTTCCTGTTGCTATTTTAGGATTAGCTGTATTAACTATATTTTCATATTATATGTGGTTTTAGGAAGAGGCCTCTTTCTCACCTCTCATGCTGCCATCTTTAATAGGTCCTGATTCTGGAATATAGGACATTCTTATGAAATATTTAGTGGATATATGTATGAATGAATAAAGTATATGTTTTCCTAGTTGTAAGATAGATGTTGCTAAGATGCACAGGCCTATTGACACAGGACTGTTGTGAATAATAATAGATGCTAAAGAATTATTGGGCACAGTATGATTTACAATCCCCAAAGGAGATTGCTTTTAACAATATAGCACAATATTTCTTTTTTTTAAAAATCCTCTTCAGAGTAACTGCTCATGGGTATAGAGTTTCATTTTGGGGTGATATAAATTTTCTAAAATTAGACTGTAATGATGGCTTTTGCCCAACTCTGTGAATGTACTAAAAACTATTGAATTGAACACTTTATATGAGTGAATTTTATAGTATGTTAGTTACATCTCAGAACTGTTTTTACAAAAGCGCTTCAATGAAAGGACACAAACACAAAAAATAATTATATTATCCTGTAAAGCACACAGCCACAATAAGTAATTGCATAATAGAACAGATGTAAAAAGACTACATATAACTGAAGAAGTCTTCTGGGAACCAATGTACCCTGGAGACACAGCGAGTGAGTGACACCACAACTAGAACTGGCCTTTCAGCTCTGTGCTGTCTCCAACCAGGCTATAATAAGTTTCCTCCTAAGCTCAGTCCTCCTCTGGAATCTAAAGCCTCCTAAGCATTCAGAATCAGCCTGAGAGGGACAAGTAGACCGCTGTATGGGCTCTGTAAGTAAAATTGTTTTTGTGAAAATGGTCAACTCTAGAAAAACTAAGCTTTTTTATTCATGGGGAAGAATTTCCTTGAAACGTGCAGAGCTAGGTTAGTTAATGGGATGGTGTGCTGTGGTGAGTGGTAGAATTTCTAGAATTATTTATTCTCAGGAATCCTATAGGGAATGGGCATTTTTGTTCTGCCTGGTGTGAGTTTAAGAGCCTGTGGTTTGTCAATCAAATGGCTTAATCACTGTGCTAATATATTGATATATTAATAATAATATAATTAGTGGTTTGCTGCTTAAGAAAACCAAACAGGTTGTCAGGGAATTAAAACTCCACTTCTAAGCCCAATTATTCTTACTAAAAATGAAAAAAACTGTCTATTGTGAACACTTACTTGAAGCTAGGTACTGTAAGAGGGATGTGTATACTCTACCTTTCAGATGAGGAAACCAGATGAAAGTTTACATTACTTACAGGTAAAATACTTAAGAGCATTAGCACTAGAATTAGAAAGAACCATGTTTAGAAACCCAGGTCTGATATTCAATAGTTATGTGTGATTCTGAATATGTTTCATAACCTCCCTGATACTCAGTTTATCATAAAAAGGGAATCTAAAGTAACTTTAATATTTGACAAATGGTGTTGTAAGAAAAAACAGAATGTTTACAAAGTTCTTAGCACCATAAACTTCACAAAACAAATTCCAATAAATGGTAGCTGTTATTAGGAGTAATATTTTTTTTATTATTGTTGCTGTACAAAATCTCAAAATTAGTTAGTGTTTGAGCAAGGATCTGAACCTAGATCAGTCACAATTAGCCATGCCATTGGCAATGGTCTAAACAATACTAATATTGCTATATGGTCTATTTCAGCAGTTAAAGACATAACTATGAGCTATAGCTTCTAACAGTGCAGTGGAAGAAGAGCATCACTATGATTAAAGGACAGGAAAACAAGTTAAAAATGATAGTTTATATCTCACAAAAAAATGAAGGCACATGGATTGGAGTAGATGGACTGAAAAGAGTCCAGGGTGATGGCAGCAAAACAGAGTAACTTGGAGGAGTTTGACTGTCTTCCCCTAATAATGTCCATTAGTTCCCTCTATTCTTTGATATTAACAATTTTTCAATTCAGGAAACTACAATGAAATACAACTTCAAGTACCCACTACAAACCAGATTGCTATTACTTAGCCTACATACCCAGACCTCCTGTCACTCCAGCTTTCAGTATTTTAGAAGTGAAATCAATAAACATTTAATGAATATTTGTATGGATGGATGACAGGGGGGGGGGGACAAGTGTGTGTACTGTGTGTACATGGGGGTGGTAATTCTAATAGGATGATTTGGGGGAGTTTGATGTCATTGACTGATAAATGAAGTATAGGAGAGAGAGCCAGGTCTGGAATCGGGGAAGGAATAAGTTCTGTTTAGCTCCTACTGAGGTTGGGGTGTCTAAGGGGTTATAGGTGGGGATGTCCCTCCGAGTAGATAAAATACCTTACTCACCTTTTATTCATTGACAATAAGCAGAGTGCTTTTATATGTTCTCCAAACTGTTGCCAGTTATTTTTCTAAATTGCCTGTTTGACGGCCTCACTCTAATTACCCTGATACATTACTGCCTTCAAGTTTAATCCCAGAAACCTTGCACGGCTTTAAAAATCCTGTTAACATTTGAAACATAGAACTCTAGAGAGTCCATAATTAGATTTCAGATTTGCTAGTCATCTGAACATAAATGCTATTTAAAGCTGTGGGAAAAACCAAGATGTCCCAAGGAGAGTATATGAAGATCAAGAAAAGAAGAGGGGCTTCTCAGAAGAAAAAGACTTCCAAAGAACACAGTTGAAAAGACAAAACAAAAACACTGACAAACAGATAACAATAGCACAGAATAACTATCATTGAAGTTAATGAAGGAGAAAGTTACAAAGAGAAAGTGGTCAACATTGAGAAGATTTGAAATGGAGAGAAAAACAAATCTGAAAATAAACTTTTGGATTTGGTATTAGGAAGTCATTGGTGACATCAGTTGGAGAATTTTCTGAGAGCTATTAGAGAAAAAATCAAGACTGTCACTGAGGTAAAGGAATAATAAACACAAGCAGACTGCCCTTGAAAGGACATTTTTTGTCAGTATAAAAGATATGACAGGAAATTTAAGGAGAAACGGAGTTTATGTCTTATTTCTCCCACTAGGTAAATACAGTGGTCAATTATGATAACATTTTCCTCAATTTCCTTCCATATCTTTTATAATTACTATATATGTGTGTGTGTGTGTGTGTGTGTGTGTGTGTGTGTGAATTGAATGTGTTGAAAATATATTAAAAGTGTGAGAAACTTTCATCAGTGGGTTGGAATAAAACTTGAGCATTGTAGACTGCAAAAAGAGAGCCAATGGTACTAAATAAGATACTAAAGAAGGAAAGGAATTTTGTTGGAGTTAAATGAGAAGAATGATTTGTTTACTTATTCATAAAATATTTGGAAATGACTAGCTCTTAATGCTCTGCATCTAAAATCTAAGCTCCTCACTCTTTCTATGGAATGCAAAACAGTCATGTGCTGGCCCCCACTGGTACCTCTAGCTTCACCTCCCAGAGCACCCAGCCTTATATTTAAGTCTCCAGCATACCAATTTTCTTGTAGTTATGCAACAAACTGTCTTGTGTCATTATTTCATTCACTCTCTGCTCATGTTGTTATCTATGTCAAGAATACCTTTTTCCTGCTTTTAAAGCTTGTGAACTCATACCTACCCACCAAAACTTTACAGTTACTATTCATATACTCTGTTAAGACTTCTTAGATCTAATTCCTCCTGACACACACACAGACACATTCATGTATATTATACACACACTCAGAGTCTGTCATTTATTGGGCCACTTAATGTAACTTCACAGTTTTTTCTCTAGTTTTCCATTAATTTCAATTAAAATTTCTCAATATTTCAAACGTGCCTAATCCCAAAGATTTCTTTAGGGAATCCTTGAGGTAGCACTTTATCTAGCTGAACTCGCATGGTCTGGAAACACTTCACTTCCTCCGAGGGGCAGTTAACATTGTCAACTTCCTACTGACTGACCCCTCTCCAGTGATAGCCCTAATCTCTGTCTTCATCAGAACCCCCCCTCTTTCATCTCTCATATATCCATCTGGCAAGCCTTCAATTCTCTACTCAGTGAAAATAGAAATGTGATTTTTTACAATAAAGTTGCATCTTTCCTCCAAAGCAAACTGTAGCAGTAACATTCTACTAGGTATCTCCTGAGAAGTATGTGTTAAGAAAATGGAGAAAATCTGTCCTGGAGAACTGCTAGTCTTCAGGTAGACTGAAGACAAAAATATATTTCAGAATGGCACCATGTTACAGTATGTGAGGGCCAGGGCCTCTGTCCCTAACTCTCTCAAATGTGAAGCCACCTGATGCATTGTAGCTATCACTTTAAAGGTTAGATTCTGTCGCGACCCTTCAGGGACCGAAGCAACACGCCCAAGGTCTTGATTCTTCTCTAGGCTTTATTGTCTAATCTCTCATGGCAGTTACAGCAGTTGTCGGGAAGCTTTTCTCCCTCCCAGCGGGCTCCCTTATATTCAGTCACCCAACCAATCCGGGACAGTATCATGCGTGACCTTTAAGCGGATAGGTGTCACGCGCCACTCTAAGCGGGCAGCA